GCAGCCCCCAGCCACCATGGGTCCCAGGGCAAGTTGGTGTGGCAGATGGCTCTACACCCCCAGAAGAAGCAGGGCAGTCAATCCAGTCACAGTGCTGTTTCCCCCAGTGGTGAGCTGGAGTCAGGCTGTGGTGTAGCTCTAGAGCAAGCCACCCATGCTGGGGGCAACTAGGCAGGAGGCAGGGCACTGGAGTTGCTCCCGCAGCCCCCAGCCACCATGGGTCCCAGGGCAAGTTGGTGTGGCAGATGGCTCTACACCCCCAGAAGAAGCAGGGCAGTCAATCCAGTCACAGTGCTGTTTCCCCCAGTGGTGAGCTGGAGTCAGGCTGTGGTGTAGCTCTAGAGCAAGCCACCCATGCTGGGGGCAACTAGGCAGGAGGCAGGGCACTGGAGTTGCTCCCACCCTGGCAGCACCTCCAGCCCTAGGGAAAATGCTGGTGGTGGGCAGCTTGCTCTGTGTGCTGGAGTTAGGGCCAACAAGACCACAATTGGGTAGCATCCTGTCCCCAGCCCTGATCCTGGGGCTGGCCCCAGAGCCCTCCCCACCCAGCATATACACCCAAACCTTCTACCCTGCCTCTCATTCACTCAACCCTAGCTCCCTAGCGAGACTGCCTGAATGCATACATGAAGCTAGATTAGACCACTTATGATATAAACATCAAAGAAATATACAAAAAGATGAAGCAGCAGTCCCATTAAATAAAGTCTGAGTACAAATTTCATTTATGCTATTATTAATCATCATGTCAATTATCAATAATATTAAGTTGTTGATTGTCAGTCATGCAGATGGGCATTCTTATACGGCTCTTTGTTGACCACTTGTTCTGAATTCTGAATTTTGATGTAGTTTGGCTCTTTGGTTTGAAAAGGTTGCCAACCCCAGATCTGAGACAGACTATAAGGCTGCTAGGATCCAGTGGAATAAGGCTTACAGGGTATGTCTACACTACAGAGTTAGTTCGAACTAACGGACGTTAGTTTGAGCTAACTTTAATAGGCGCTACACTAGCGCTCCGCTAGTTCGAATTTAATTCGAACTAGCGGAGCGCTTAGTTCGAACTAGGAAAACCTCATTTTACGAGGATTAAGCCTAGTTCGAACTAGCTAGTTCGAATTAAGGGCTGTATAGACCCTTAATTCGAACTAGTGGGAGGCTAAGGCTACCCAGGTTTCCCTGGTGGCCACTCTGGACAACACCAGGGAAACTCTATGCCCCCCTCCCGGCCCCGGACCCCTTAAAGGGGCACGGGTTGGCTACGGTGCCCATGCCAGGTGCAAGCCTGCCAGCACCCAGCCAGCAGACCCTGCACCTGGCACGGATCGAGCCACCCACCTGATGCCCCCCAGCCCTCCCCCTCGTCCCGGGACCAGGCTGGCAGCTCCCGGGAGCTTGCCCGGGACCGCA